TCATCATGAGCTGACGTCACGTCAAGACGAGTTAACTTTTTTTTTTCTCAACTTTGTGTGGAAAAATGCGGGGATTATGCGGCCTTTTGATAGATATGCGGCCTTTTAAAAATCTGCGCCATTTTGCTGATTATGCGGTAAATTCTGCGATCGCAGAATCGCGTTTTTCTGGAGGGTCTAATAATTACACTACTTCAACTGTCAATCATTATGTAATTTCAAAATCTGAAGGGAAATTAAACAATTCTCAAAATGTTTAACAATCTGTAAATGAAACGTTAGGCAAATATTCAAAGACTTTTGTAAAAACCTGGAAAGGAAGGATTAAACATTCTTAAAACTTGAAACATCATTTTAGGTATGTCTGTGCATGGGTAATACATTAAAGAGTAGTGTTGTTAAGCCTGATTGCTGGACAATTAAGGGTATTAACATTATCTGTTATAATAACATTATAATTATATATTATATATATATATATACATCATCTTATTATATTATAATAACATAACTTCATGCCGATCTAGATCCCTCCGCTTCGCGTCGGGCTCCTGATCAGCCTGTCTCTGCTGTTTTTACACATAATGCCCGCGTCTGCAATTATCCCTTACATATGATATACTAGAGTCATTATTCATTTTGTTTTAAAGCCAGGAGGCGCAAACGCTTGCCTCGGGAGGGAGAAAAAGAGCCCAAGGAGAATAAAACCAGAAGGGCAACCATGTCAAACCATGCAAGGAGTCTTCTTCGCTGCTTTTGTGGCAGACTACAGCACCACTTACAGGGCCTGGCATATGTACTACACGCGTCTCCAGCGCTTTCGAGCAGCAATGGCCGGCCGTGGCCCAACCTCTCATTCCCCTGATAGGTGGAGAATTGACCACTAAGCGGAGCACCCCTTTTGTGACTTGTAATAAATAATTCAAATCTGGATCAGATCCGTTACAGACCCTTTTTTTAGAGATTTGGGTATGGAGGAAAAGAGAGAGGGTTGTATTTTCTGACACTTTGTGAGTTCCCTGACACACCGGGGACACATATTCATGTATAAAAGACGTACAGGAGTGCATTTTGCATGATAGGTCCCCTTTAAATCAGTAGAGGATGGATGTCCGCAGAGTGGCAGGCAGCAGGCTAACACTTAAACTTTGATTTCAGAACTAGATCGTTTGTTTTTCAGTCCTTTTTTTCTAAGTGAAAGTAAAGTACACATTCATTTGTGTTGTTAAATGTGCAATACACTGCACAGCAGCTTTTAGACATAATGAAACTATATTTTTCCACTTCGATGCTTTGTTTTCACTGAAAAGAGGGAGGGGCTGTAATTTTGGCAGGAAGTGACATAGCACTGCTTTCATCTATCCAGTTCTCTATTTACATCCATGGTACAGAATAGCGGGACTATTTCCTGGCCTGTTGCAGGTACTTCCTGGAGCCTCTGCCGGTTGACTGGAAATAGCCCTGTTTCCGGGCTTTATGCTAAGCAAAGCTAACCAGCTACTGATTCATGTCTAATGAACAGATGTGAGAGTAGTATTGATCTTGTCATTCAATTCTTGGCAAGTGCTAATAAGCATTTTTCCCTAATATTGACAATTTCCTTGAATCAATATGGTGCCTGCCAGCTCCTCAGTGTATGGTTGTAGAGAGATTCTTCCAGGTGTGACTATATTCATATTAACACATTAGTAGGATCCTGGTGTTAAAACTGAACATGCTGATCACCACCCATAGAAAACATGTATTTTGTTGTTTCCTATAGAAAACACACTTCTATAAAACATGAACTGCTCAAACTAACCTGCCTGTTTGTGTGGTGTAGTGCTGATGATATTTGATGTGTTTGTCTTTCCTCACTGCAGCTGGTTGTAACCTGCTGTTATCAGGGATTAGCTGTGGAGGGAATGAACCAGCAATTTATTTACAGCCTCTGTCTCTTGTCTCTCTCCTCCTCTGAACGACTCTCTAAATCTCTTTTTATTTCAACTCAGTTTAGTTGTAGCAGTTAGTTGGTAGAACATTTAAAGCATTGCTGGAAAAAGTATCCTGATTCTTTGCCTGAGTAAAAGTACTAATACCACACTGTTCAAATACTCAATTTCAAGTAATAGAATTGCTTCGAGAATGGTACCTAAGTTACTCATTTTTGAAAAAACTAAAAATGCATTAAATATTTTAAAGCAAAAGCAGCAAATCTTCACATTTAAGAAGCTGGAACTGAAATATTATTCAACCAGAAACATAATGGCAAAATTGCTACAAATTAATTATCTGTTTACCCACTCATTGTTTTATTTACCTAAATATAATGTTAGATTGTGAAAATGTTTCCGTGGTATTGTGTGTCAAAAGCTCAATTTATAAAGTGTGTGTGTGTGTCTCCCCCCTCTCTCTTTGTCCTTGCTCCTCATCATGACCTCTTCCTGTGACCTCTGACCCCTCCCTGGCCTCTGCGTCCATATCAACCTTTGTCTGTCTTTGTGATTTTTCCCATAGTTTCGTGTGCCTCAGCCCCCCCACCCTCTCAGCAAGGTGACGCAATCCAACCAGCCCTCCCAGCACTGGAGGAGGGACACACACATGCCTGACACACACCGTCTGCCCTGGGTAAACACACACACACACACACACACACACACACACACACACACACACACACACACACACACACACACTGCCTGACACACACCGTCTGCCCTGGGTAAACACACACACACACACACACACACACACACACGCGCACACGGCAATGTCAGGGCAACACAGATGACTGTATAACAGTTAACTCTCACACACAGTGATCACGTTGGCTGTATCCTGGTGACACCACCTCTCATATTAATCAGCTGCTCCACCTCTATAGCTTACATAAGCACTTGCCCTGATCCTTGCTACCTGTGCTACTTTGAATAAAACATGATCGTCACGTTTTTAGAGCTCGGTATCCAATTGGTTATAGAATGGTGCAGGGATAACGTATTTACCCGGAAGTAAGCTGCGCTCGGGTTCCCTCGACAAAAAAGCAATGGGATTTCTCCATAGGATTTTGGAAAATACCTCGAAATAAGGTCTGTGGAAAACGAACCTGTTAGATAAATGCACGTTTTGTTCAGCTGGATAATATCCACATGTCTACCATACTTTTATAACTTTCGAATCATAAATCTAATCGCCAGAAGCAAAATGCTAACGTTATGCTATAAACCTACTAAAGCAGGGTCGCACAACTTCAACGTCACGCCAACTTAAGATCGATATTCAAACATACAGATTCTAAATGGTACAAGTTGAAGCGTTTGTTTTAACAGTTTGCAGGAGGCAGGTACTTGCTTTCAAGCAGAACAGGGCAAACAAACTTAGAGGAGTGTTTGCCTCCTGCAAACTGTTAAAACAAACGCTTCAACTTGTACCATTTAGAATNCAAGGGGGCAAGACATTTATAAAGCAATAATGGTAATGCTGAATGAAAGAGGGTGCAGCTGCCTTTATTCATAACTGCAGCTGCACTGCGACCCTGAGGGATCAAGCACAGACACAATAACAATGAAAACTGCTGCATACAGATTATTTTTGTTTTTGCAACCTCGTGTGAATGACCGTAATAAACGGACCTTTGTCTTATTGAAAAGAAAATGTTGGACCTTTAAGATTTGTATTTGAGTACCCGGATGGCACTGATGTACAGCATAGGCTACAATACTCAATGGTGTACATCATCAAGCTGATTTAGCAGCAACATTTTTTACGTCACATACGGCTCAGAAGATGAGTAGAAAGGATCTACTAGTAGAAGGGGGACCTTCCTACAGAGGTGCTCGGGTATACAGATCAACACGAGGCATGGATCTATTAAAGGAACTGAATACCAAACTCAAAGATAGACATCAAGACATGCCATTATTATTATTATTATTATTAGGCTCCCTGTTCAGCCAATGGATGTTAGCCTTCATTACAATGACGTTGTGCAAATATATAAATAACCTTTGTAAATTCAGTGATAGTTAAAAAAAAAAATCATAAACGGTTTGAGATGTAAAAGTATAGCATGGTTGTTTCATTTTTCAACACAAAAGGAGCAATTCACATTAGTGCCACTTATTTTTCTTTGCAAATAAGTATTTGCTGGATAGCATCAATGAAGCATTTGGGATTAGCATCTTTTAAAATAGCAACGGTTTTTGAGGTGACTAAGATATTATAAATAGACATCAAATAGAATAATTAATAAGAAGACAATGTGGGTCAAGCAACTGTTTGACGCATTGAATATTATTGTTGAACCATGTTTGACACAAACATTTCGCGGGAAAAAAGTTGTCACGAGAGTGTAATGAAACAGACAGTCGTTAAAAATAGTCGTTTTCTGTTGGACGAAATGATCGGACGTTACGTATGAGAGAAAACGTAACGTCCCGGCTGATTGGACGGCCTCACTGTTGGCTCTTTCCTTCCCGCCCCCAGCAGCTCGGCTTTCCTGCGCCAGCAGCAGCAGCGGTGGTGTGTCACCGACGCTAGGCTGCTGCCGGAGAGACCTGGAGTCAGGGCGAACAGACACCCAGTTCATCCACACTGGCATCACAGCGGGGCTGAGGGGCTGCCCCGGCGAGCTTTACACCTGAACACCGGTTCGGTTGGATACGTGTCTGCGCCGCCCGTCCTCCTGATGTCGGACTTCAAGCTGGGGATCGTGCGGCTCGGCCGTGTGGCCGGGAAGGTGAGCTGGATCCCAGAACTGCCATGTGCGGCCGGGGTAGGAGGGCCCGCGGGGACCACAAAAGGCGATGGAAAATGGTTTCGCAGTGACGTGTCGATGCTGGTGAACAGCTTTAATGGTTATCAACCCATGAACCAGCGTTAGTGATTTCACTCGCATTTCACGGATTAGAGGAGCCGGCCGAGGCAGACTGGTATTCTGTCTCCGCCACCACACAGTCTCGAAGCTAACGCTAACTAGCATGTAGCCGGTTACTGTTATCTTGCGTTAAACCTTGGAATAATAACACATGTAAACACATGGGGTCGTATTTTCTCGTTACCGGTGATGGGTAGAAATGGAGATAGTGTTTATTTTGTTCTGTTCGCCGGTGGTTGTTATCTTTTATAACGGTCGGTGTTAGTGTTAGCACTGCCACGCTAGCTGTGTTATTTGGATTACACTGAAGTGTCTGCTAATGAGGAAGCCATTATGCTCCATCAACTGATTTGTTTTGTGTAACGTGACAAAGCATAGACAGGATGGCTCACTTATTCAACATCTGTTGCCGTAAACGTGCATATTGTTTGTGTTTTAGTTCCTTATTTTCTATTCAACACTTTGTGAGGCGTTAAACTATGGCTGAATGATGTGTGCCACAACAAGACACTCAAGATAAAGGGTCCAGAGCCTTTCCAGTTGAATCTGTGAGGAATCAGTTACCCACCTGCTGAGTGACACATCTACAGTCAGGAGTCACACACCTTATTTACAATGTCACTCATGTTAACAATGGGCTGGCAGTCGAGACAAAGTGTCACATTGCATGTTTAAACCTTTTGGTATGTGGACACCACCACCCTGTGCTGAGGTGTATCATGCTCTGTGTAGCGTGGGGCTGCTGTGTTGGTATCTTGTCACGTGCGTGTGAGGAAGTCCCACCTTCCTACAGAGGTGCTCGGGTTTACAGATCAACACGAGGCTCTGATGGTCCTTTTTAAAAACATGCAACATCTCGAGTCCAGATGTGGTTGATCTAATGTTGGATCAAAACAGCTGAAGCTTATTCTCGTGATGACGTGTACTTTTAGTGTTATGTTTATGTCTGTGTTGCAGCTGTCACCTGTAGGTCCAAAATATGAGTTTGAACATACCTACAACTGCTCATCATTTGTTATTGTACTAGCCTTCGGAAAACATGCTAGATTTAATAAGCAGTCTTGTTTGACTTTGCAAGTCTGTACATAATACTTGCATGCATAAGTATAGACTAAAGCCTCATTTGGAAATAATCTATTGTTAATAACTATTCAGTTAATAAGAGGACAGAATACTTGTAGCTAAAAACATTTTTTATTTTTTAAAGCTATTGCTAAATTAAAAATTACATTCTTGAATAGTTTGCTGATTTAAAAAAAAAAGTATTTGAATAATTCTACTGAAACAGATATTTGTGAATCCCTAGGGGAGAAGCCTTTACATTATTTTAAATGGTTTTCTCATATTGTTTTACGCATTGTAGGGGTGTAACGGTTCACAAACATTTCGGTTCGGTACGTACCTCGGTTTTTAGGTCACGGTTCGGTACGCTTTCGGTACAGCAGAAAAAATGATCACAAAACATGAAATATTTTTTTGGGGTTTTTAATTATTATTAAACTGTGGATAATGTATTCACTCAAATAAATACAAAATATAATAATAAACATTAAGGTGCAGCATTTCGATGAACTGAAATAATCTGTATTTTTAGTACTAGTACTCACAAAACATAAAATATTAGTTTTGGGGTTTTAATTATTATTAAACTGAATATTCACTCAAATAAATACAACATACAGTATAATAAAATAAACATTAAGGTGAAGCATTTCGATGAACTCAAATAGTCTGTATTTGAACTGTACTGTACTAGTACCTAAGCAGCCAGCTTGACATTAGACTTGCTTGTCATTGTATTTTCATGATTTTTTTAAGAAAAATGAACTTGTCCACATTGCTTGCCGAAAGGGCAGATCTGCTGGCAACTAACAATGTCTCCTGCTGTGGAGAACACCCTCTCAGAGGTAGCAGATACAGCCAGGTAGCGCTTTGCTAACATGGCACTGATACTGAACTTTTTGCGAGTGGTGGAGGCTTAAATGCTAGTGGGAGTTGGGTTTGCACTTCAGTGATTTTTCTTTTGGTACCGGTTATATTCACGTTCGGGTGATGCCTTTTCAAGTGAGTGTGCAAGTTTGATGTATTGCCAGCCGCGTAACCAATTGTAGTTGAATAATGCCGACAAACAGCTTTGGTTCAGTCCACCTGTCTTTGTCCGTCATCGTTGTACGTAACTGCGAAACCAAAATGTTCTCAAACCGGAGACTTCAATGATGCTGGAGGATTTTCGAGCTCAACTTTATCTGCGTTCGCCATTTCGACAGTTCCTCAAACAACTGACTACATTTGAACGCATCCCTGTGACCAGCTCTCATAGTATGCCTCTCGTCCAATGAAATGACTTGGTCGCTCTGACGCGTTGAAATTACACTGAACGCTGCGTTCCTGCAGCCCTGCCCGGAGCATGGGCTGCAGGAACATGCTACTCGAACGCTGCGACTCAGCACCTGAGATTACTTCCAAAACGTTTTTCACGTTCTCAATTTTTTACGTTTAACGTTAGGGCCCATACCGAATATCCTCGGTACAAATACGTATACCGTTACACCCCTAACGCATTGGGTTTCATGTAAAGCTCCCAAAAAATAAATAAAAGATTGGCAGGTCATGAGAAGATGGCTGATACTGTAGTGGTGTGATTTTTTAACATTAACATATTTTCTCTCCATTCTTTCATTTCAGACAAAATATACACTGATTGATGAACAGGACATACCGCTTGTGGAAAACTATGCGTTTGAGGTAATCAATTAGGATTCAGCTACAAGTTTGCATGTTTAATAAAAGTATTGATGAAATTGCATTCTCTGATTTGGCCAATGTTTAAAGGACATATGTCTCTTTTCCAGGCGCGCATGGAGGTAGATGCAGATGGCAATGGAGCTAAAATCTTTGCCTACGCTTTCGACATTGGCAAAGGCCGCTGGGCAGGAAGGCCTTTGCATGAGCTTCTCTGGTAAGTCCTTTTTTCATATATTCACAAAGGACTTATTGTCTGTCTGAGGTAAAGAGTCATAATAAACCTAAACTTGCAAGAACGTGATCAAAAACAGTTATATTTGCAAGATGAATGCTAAACAGGGCACTTTGCAGCAGCCATCATTGAAACCTTGGACAACCTAATCTCCTTGTGCTTCTTTATATTAAGAAACAGGATTTTATCTATACCCGTGCAGGCTGGTTCTTAGTGACTGACTCTGTCCTTCAAAAACTTTTCCTGTTTGCATCAGCTTTATGTCAAAAGGAACAGTGGACCAGACAGTACACTTTATCTCAAAAGTGTGGCATTAACAGTCACTTGTTATTGGTCTTTATCTTAAAGGGGACCTATCATGCAAAATGCACTTTTGTACGTCTTTTACACATGAATATGTGTCCCCGGTGTTCCAGGGAACTCACCAAGTGTCAGAAAACACAACCCTCTCTATTTTCCTCCATACCCAAATCTCTAAAAAAGGGGCTGCAACGGATCTTATACAGACTGATCCAGATTTGAACGCTGTCCTGACGTCAGTAAAGTGGAGCTACGGCTATTGGTCAATTCTCCACCTATCAGGGGAATGAGAGGTTGGGCCACGGCCGGCCATTGCCGCTCGAAAGCGCTGGAGACGCTGTAGTACATATGCCAGGCCTGTAAGTGGTGCTGTAGTCTGCCACAAAAGCAGCGAAGAAGACTTCCCTTGCATGGTTGCCATGGTTGCCCTTCTGTTTATTCTCCACTGTGGACGCTCTGGCTGTTTTTCTCCCTCCCCGAGGCAAGCGTTTGCGCCTCCTGCTGCTGTAATTCAATGCAATCCCTCCCCGTCGAGGCAAGCACTGTCATTCTCTGGTTTGCCACCAGCAGATGACAAACAACCACCTCTCCGTCTCTTCTAAGGGACGAGGGGACCATGCGGCAGAGCTCCAGATAGATTTTTTCGCAGGTCAACATGTCCGTTAAAGTTTAAATCTTCCGGACAAAATTAGAAAAGTGCCGGTCAAAGGTCTTCTTTGTTATTTATTGAGCTTTAAAACAAATGAATAATGACTATATAATCATATAAGAATAATACATGGAGGACAGAGCCTCTCTTTTCCTCCCCCTCTTCTGTGAGCCCAGCAGCTGATCAGAGTACTCTCCCCTCTCCTGCAGGGGGGCGTGGTCAGCTGCAGCTCATTTGCATTAAAGCTACGTCACAGAATCAGCCACTGCAAAAACAGGGTTGGCAAAGAGCAAATAGAGCGAAATGAGGCATGGCTAAAATGCAGGATCTGTTTGGTATTTTGAAAAAAAAACTTCACAGATATGTTTTATATAGGTATGGCTCGACAATATATTATTCAAATATAGCATGATAGTCCCACTTTAACTCATCCATGTATTCTGCCAATGTTAAAAAGCTCAGGGGACAAACATCTAACCGATTTGTATTGAATATGATCATTGTTTGGTATAAAATTCAAGNCACCCCAGTAGGTGAAACTAGGCTACTAGCTAAAGTACAGATGCAACTAGATGAGCTGTTAACTCTCGCTCTGACTTCTTTTTTTTAAACACACGCATTTTTCCCACCCGCATTCCGCGAAGACCCGCCCTACTGTGCCTCTGATTCGCAGACTGTTGGTGGGGGGAAAAAACGCTGACGGGATGCTGAATGTGATTGGACCAATGCGTTGACAGACACACACATACAGTGGAACAGTCGGACATGCAGAGCGCTGTTTGTAGTGGACATAGCGGAACATTTAGACTCGTTGCGTTGTGGCGATGTCTCGCAGATAACACATATGAAAAGTATAATTTGCTCAGAGTCCAGAGACAGTTGTGGTTCGGTCCGGATCCGGACCGGAGTCCGGACTTTGAGGATGCCTGATGTACACCATTGAGTATTGTAGCCTATATGCTGTACATCAGTGTCACATCCTTCCACTGAAAATATAAAGCAAAAAGAAAGAAATCATTATAGAATGACTGCTTTTTGAACATACATTTGAACTATACTGCAATTTATATTTCCACAAATTCAAAGGAATGTACAACTTATTATTTTCATCCCAACACTCATTGATGCTCACAGTGCAGGCCCTATCCTTGTTTTGATCCCTCAAAAATGACCTTAAGGACCGTATCAGCAGCGTTTTCTTGCAGTTAGCAAAGCAGATGAGCACCCTCTAGGGATCAGGATCTGTATCACAGAAAACTTAGAAGATTTAAGAATAATTACGAAAACAGGAGTTTTACTTTAAAAACGTTTTCATTCATTGTTGATGATCAGCAGGGTATCCCAACAAATCTTATTTCAATTATATAAGGCATATGTATACTAATTTACTTTAGTTAATTTAGTGTATTGAAAAGTTAAACATATGTAATGTTGTTCTTAAGAGGAATAGCATTGGTGAGTTAAAGCGGTTGTCTTGTGCCAACTCAACGTGTTTGCAACATTACATGTTTGTGTTATTGTTTTTAACTTTTTACGTACAGTAGTCCATACGCTCTGTCTGAAGTTGATGATGTAAAGCCTGCATGGCTAGTTCTTCCCATTACAAAACAGCTTTTTTTTTGTTGGAAACAATAGCAGTCCTGTGCCTTTGCTTTTCCCATGTTAGCTGAAATGAGGAAGCACCTTGTCTCAGCCAGGCACCACTTTTTTTCTCTCAATCACCCCTATCGAGTTACTCAGACATGGAGCTGGGAGGTGTGGCATTTCCTTTTGTGGGTTTGAATTTCTTGAGATTTGATCTGTTTCCTCCCAAATACATGTGTAGCTTTAACAACAAGTCTTTCTTTTAAGCTTAGTTTTTAAATGTGAAGCCTTTTACTCCCCCCTTTTTTTTTTAAAACAAACAATTGTCATAATTGTTCTCTTCAAGGAGTTAAAAGTAAGTTAAGGGGAATATTTGATCAATTGCCTCTAGGATTGTATGACAACTTTCACTGGCAAATTGAATGAACATATACAGTATGGACATTGAATTCCAATAAAATAAATAAAAAGTCAAAATAAAAGCCAGCACAATGACTCAAGAACGGCTCATACATTGATAATTTTTGTTTCACACAATGAACCGTGAAACACATTTTATGCTTTGTTTAGTTGAAAGTTTGTTTAAAAAGATACATGCAACACCAATGTAGGCCAGATGAAAGTCAGTACTTCTTGTATAATCCTTATATGATAATAGCTTATGGCATAATCACATTGTTAGTAATAATACTAAAACTGGATATGTTAGTAAGTGTTGTGGAGTCGGACACACCCTACATGTTTATAAATGTTTATAAATGGAAACATACTTCTTGAGATGCTGGTTGCAACCAAAACCAACTCACTGCAGAGTCACTATAAATGAATGAGCCTGGCCATCGATGAAACAGACCATCCTTCTAAAGAACATTTGTTGTTATTGTCTCTGAATTCATAAGCTTTTCCAGACAGGGTGTTACTCACTTTATTGCTGAACAGAGCTGTCCCGAGGTGTGGCTGCACCTGATCTCTGGCACACACATATGATGAAACAATTTATCCATCACTCCTCTCCGCCCTGGAAAATGTGATTATCCTCTCCCACAGTTTTTTTTTCTCAATGGTATGCAAGTAAGCAACTTCCAAATGAAATTACTAAACTGAAACAATCCTTGACTGGATGAGATTGTTCTCAACTGTTAGTTTAATTGTTTTAATAATAATCAGGTTATCATTATTCAGAATGCTGATGTCGTGAACAATGTTTAACAAACAAAAGAAAGAAATAAATTCAATTTTTTTGTCATGTGAATAGTTTGTGAAGAGTTTTGTCTAATGTAAAGTTACAAAAAAAGTCATTTAATTATTTTAAAGATCAATTGGGTTATAAAATAGTTTGCACATACAAATGGGGGTATATAATATAAAAGATAAGGGAAAAAACATTCCTAATATAACAGTGAGAGGCATTTTAACAAAGTCACCCCTATTAACTGTTTATGAACGTTTTTGTGAATATCAGATAGTTCAGAAAAGGTTTTCTGATATTCAAAAATGTAAATCCTTGTGTATTTATTTCTCTTTAATCCTATTACAGATTTAAACACATCAGAATGTTTTATCATTTTAGTTTATTTGCATACATCATTAGGGCAAGCATTGGAGTAAAACATAGACTAAAAAAAACAATAGCAAATAATCCAAACATAGTCCAATGTGTTAAATGCAAAAAGAGGTAAAGTTCTAAGTGAACACAAATATATATTTTTAAAACGTGGAGAAACTGGAAATTAAAGAAGGTTTTAAAGAATGAAAGGTATACATGCACATTGTGATGTTAGCTTTTTATAAGGCCACTACTAGAATATAAACACCAGCTTGTGATTTATTAGGCTACAACACAATTGTAAGACGGTTATCAGCTGACGCCCAAATCAAACAACTGAGAACCAGAAGAGCAGAACGTTTTTTTCCCTCTCAGCTCTGACCTCTGGTGTCCATGTTACTTCCGTGTTCTGCTCACCTGTTCCACCTGTATTACTGCGCCGCAGGTGACTGTATGTGCGTCTCGATGCACCTGCTGCGTTATTCTGCCATGACCGAGGAGCTCATAACCTGCGAGTTAACTTTCCCGTCTTCACCGGAGAAGACTTTGGATGTTGTGAAAAGTAAACCGATGGATTTGGAGCAGCCTATTTTCTCGTTGCTGAGCGGCGGGGTGAAGCAGCAGCAGCCGGCGGAGGGGGACACCGCGGGGACACCGGCTGCGACCACCCCCGACACCGAGTCCGGGATCTTCTCTGGGGAATGTGAGCTGTGTGTGGAGCATGAGTCCGAGCTGGACTGGTTCTGTGGCACCGAGCAGAGACTCATCTGCTCCCACTGCGCTATCGTGGGTCCCTGCCACGGACACTCTGTGACCCCTGTGGCCACCAGAGTAATCGCAGTAAGGGTTAGTGAACTGCTGATATTGTATATTAATGTTTGTTTTTAAATGTATTGCCTGAGTTTTGGCATAGTTTTATTAATATTAGCTTTAGAAATGTAAAAGGTAGATATTTTTTCTTTATTAGGATACCTTCAGGGTTAGATAATAGCCCAGGAATGTTACTTTCACTTTGTTTGAATGTTTGTTTAAACTTTTTTATTGGCCGTGTTATTTGCTGTTAGACAGGTTTAACAGATTTTCCTCATCTGCATTAGAACATATCATTCTAGATCCTTTTAATTTTATTTTATGAAAGAAAATGTGGATTTTTCCTATTCACTCACTCACTCTGTTGAGGATTGTACCTGTTATTAAGGACTCACTTAAAAGTGTGGAGAATAATGCTCACATATTTGACAGTGTAAAATGTGTAGTTAGTAATCCTTTCTTGGGTGCGCCACAGTTTGCATGTAGTTTTTCTAGCTGATTCTTATGCATGGTATTTAAAAAGACAGGATTTTCTTGTTGCGTCTCCTCCAGCTGATGAGTATGTGTGTGTTTCAACAGAACCATCTGGTAGATGTGTGTGAGAAATTGCAGCTGCAGGCTCTGAGGATTGAGAGGTTTATCGAGCAGACGCTGACAGCCAAAGAGCAAAAACTTCAGGTGAGAAACACATCCCCACCCACTAAACCACACACTAATGATCACACACAGAGAAGCCAACCTCAATACAAACACATTATCAAGTGAAGCAAACAATGTTTCACAAGCAGCCTGTCGGCTGGCTCTGCTTTATGAAAAGTCCCATGTGGAAATCTTCATGTGCTTTGCAGACACATGAACACATTCTGTTGAATTGTATGTATGTGGAACCTACTGACCCTTATCATAAGGCATTAGGATTATTTTCATTGTCAATTCATGTGTCAACTATTTCTTCTGAATAATTGTTCAATCTAAAGTATGTCAAAACAAATTAAAAAAATAGCATCATCCCTACCCAAATTGCTTGTTTAGTCCGAATAACTGTTACAAACCACATTCAGATTTCAATGATGTAATAACGGATAGAAAGCTTGAATATAGTGAATGATTGACATTTTAGCTGAAAAACTGTACATGTGAATCCGTTATTGCCACATTAGTATAGGAAAAATTCACAAAATGTCATGTTTCAAGTACTTAAGAATATAATTGTAGTTATTTTTAATATTATGGATTTTAATTGTGTCTTTTTCTTACTTTTCCTTTAACTATTATAACAGTAAGCTATTCAGATCATTTTAACCCAAACAGGTAAAACACTTTGCAGTTGTAAATGCTTGAGTAAGAGAGAACAAAAACACAATATGTTTACTAGGCATGTATAACTTGCTGATTCAGCCAATTGAACACCTCCATTCGACAAAGCAAAGGTTGCCTCTTTCAGTGCACCCTTATTTATTAACCTCCCTGAGCACAATGGGTGTCTCAAGTTTTAAGAGGGTTAACACTAGGAAATCAAACCTCAAGCAAACAGTAAAGGCAGGTCAGACAAATATGTAGATACCTTATCTGAGCAAGAATCAAGTCCCCAAACAAATGTTTCCTGTAACAACATGTTACACATTTAAACTGTGAAAACAAAGCATTGGATTTCGAATCTGTTCAGTGAATCTTTGTAGCTGTTTTTGTTTGTTTAAGGTCAAACATGGGATGCCATTGTGTGAAGTGTCAATACCTGCTTTTATGGCGCCCACTGTCGATTGGCTGCATGTGTGCACAGAAACATGGGCGGGACACTATTTTATCCTCATGTTTCCCTATGTTTGATTAATTGGATATTGTTCTGTATGACAACCACTGTCTGTCACTAAAGATCCCACTGAAAGAAGAAAACAGTCCTTAATGGTCTCTGCCCCTAAGACCACTTGCAGACAGAATTGCAGCTCGATAGGCTGATTCCAAAAAGACCATTTTAAAGTTCAGTTAAGGGCTTGGAGGCTAATTCAATTGGAAATTGTGTTTCTTTTGCCAGATGTGTTTAACCTTTCCCTCTTTCTAGGTATATGACTTAATGTTATTGCCTACTTTGTGTGTTGTTGTATGTATCACGGTTTTGAACGTATCTTGATTCAGACAACTATTGCTTCTGTCTTGCAAGACATCCTTGGACACATGAAAAAAACAAAGAAAAAAAATTAACAGTAGCAGTAGTAGCAAAAACTGCTATTGGTAACCAGTCCCTCACAAAATCCTCAAGACTACATCTCAACTCATCTGAGTCTCTCCAAAATAAGTTGTCCTTGATTTTCAACTATGGAAAGACCCAGACTAGAGTCGCGAAAAAATTAGCTTTACTTCTTTATTAACAGCTGGGGGGATTGATTGACTTGTATTGCCTGCGGGTTTGAGCTCTGGGAACAGGACGAAGCTGCCATCCATGGAGGACCTTTACTCCCAGCAGTCAGGAAGAAATCCCTCCGGATTATAAAAGACCCCCATCCCCCCAGCCACAAACTGTTCTGCCTGCTGCCGTCTGGCAGGCGTTACCGCAGCATCCGGACGAAAACCACCAGATTCAGGGACAGTTTCATCCCACAGGCAATAAGACTGTTAAACACCTGAACTGCTGAAGCAACATCTGTTAAATACCTGAACTGTTGAAACAACATCCATAATATTCATCTGGCTGCTACTTAGAAATCTATTTATCTATTTATCTAATATATCATATTCCAATAACTTGCATATAGACTCTTATTGTACTATTTCACTATTTCACTTTTCTGTTCTTTTTCTTTTCCTTTTTGTATTTACTACTTGCACTATATTTTTCTGTTCATCTGTGTTTTGTGTTGCACTGTTGGAGAAGCCTGTGGCCTAAGATTTTCATCGGCATAACTACACTGTAGTAAAATATGCTTTAGTGCATGATTTGAAGATTTTTATAAAATTGGAATCATGACACATGTGCTCGAGAATCTTAAAAGTTAAAATAAACCTGTATACACTCCCGTGAAGAGATTTAGCAATGTAATTTTTTCCTTCTCTCTGTTGGCGTAGGTAGGGGCGAGCAGGGCCAGGGAGCATATCCTGGCTCAGGTCAGTGCAGCGCGTGAAGCCCTGGAGGAAGAGGAGCAGCGTCTCCTGGAGGAGGTGCAGAAGGAGGAGGAGCGGGTGGAGCAGTGCCTCCTCACCCAGAGAGCACACTGGAGCAAAGCTTTGGCAAATCTGACACAAACACGCTCCAGCCTGGTGCACACACTGACGCACACTTCAGAGGCACAACTGGTGGTGAGAGATAACAACATTTTTGTTCAGGGACGACTTGGGGATATTTTTTAGCAAAAGAAGAACTTGTGCTAAAATAAGTGTAACCTGATAATGGTCATTCATTATCTATAATGCTTCCTGTCTTTCAGACCAGTGTCCAGGAGATAGCTGAAAGGTAATGTTTTCTACTTACTTACTTAACATTTCTAGTGAATATTTCTTTCTTTCTCAGTATACACCAGAGAGGTAATATTTGTTCTTCTATTACTGTTTGTCAGGGTGGAGGCGGCGGATGGGGTTGGGGAGCCCTGTGACACGGAGCAGCTCAACATGAACTCAGCTTGTAGCGACAGCAAGCTGCTGAGGGGCCTCTGGGCCACTGCAGTGCTGCTGGGGCCAAACGGTTAGTGCAGTGTTATTCGATCCTCATGGAAACCTGATAGATCTATCAGGATCATTGCCCACAACTATAATAGTAGTTAGCATAACTGCAAATAGGTCTGTCACAACATTAGATGTTCTATTCCCATTTATTGCGGACAAAATGACCCAATAACAATTTTATCAACACAATTTTTTTTATATCTTTACCTTTTTTAATTGTGCATTTTTCATCACACTTAAAATACAACTGTATTGACGTGGACAGAAAGTCCATAATTACAACTGTACAAAAGTGTACCGAAAGAAATGAAATGTTAAGGACCCTGAGTTATTTACATAATATTACCATATGTGAATTATTAACATGATTTAATATTTAAGTATTAGTACTCAGAATGGCTAATTTATGTGTAAACATTAATAGACCTTAATAGTCATAGTAGAAAAAGCCCAGGTTTAATAATTGTGTTATTAGCTACACATGTGCTATTCCCACAATGATAAAACATTTCTACTCAGAGAAAATACAAATGTTTGGTATATTTTGCCCACAGAACTTGTCTGAACTTATCTAAAAATATATTGTTCATAATCAGTAATATACATGATCCTGATGTATATCTCTCCCTAGCTGGAAACAGCAGTGATTGTTTGGGGCCTGGAAGGTTTTGTGTAACTGAGCAAGTCTTGAAATAAAATGAAGAAATAGTAAAGGTAAATAAATAAAGAAGCAAATTAAAACATATATTCAATTTACTGTATCTCACAATTTTATTTTAGATAATCTTTTACATGATTTTGGTACATTGAACAACATTATGTTTATTTATCAAGCAATTTTTTCATCTATAGGTTTCTGACCATTAATCCATATTTTTCCTCTTCCCACAGCTTATGGATCATTTTATTTGAAGTTTAATGAGCGCACAGTGAGCCCTCTCCTGTCCCTGTCGGACGACTTCTACACTTTGACGTTCTCCAACAAAAAACATCGCCAACCGCTGCCCTACGACCCGGCACGCTTCGATTGCTGGCCCAACGCTCTGGGCTCTCTGTCCATGTCCTCTGGCACCCACAGCTGGGTGGTGGATGTGGGGGAAAGTGGTGCCTTCAAGGTGGGGGTCTGCTACACCTCTCTGGAGCGCAAAGGCTCAGGGAACGAGGCTCGGCTGGGGTACAACAGCCAGTCCTGGGTGCTGTCTCACTACGACGGGGACTATTCCTTCTGCCACGCGGGGAGGAAGGAGCCCCTGCAGGTGGCGAGGAGACCCCAGAGGATCGGCCTGCTGCTGGACTGGCCCAGTGGGACGCTGTTGTTCTACGAGCCAGACTCCAGCGCTGTGCTGCACTCCTTCACACATTATTTCAACAACCCCCTGCTGCCAGCGTTTGCAGTTACTGACCGCAGCATCACTATTCTGCACTGACACGCAGCCAAAAGACTCAATGACCTCAAACATGTGAAGATATTCTCCAATGTAAATATGATCAGCAGCAAATTATCCTCCATCTGATTGTGCAGTTATGAAAAGGCGTGAATTTGTATTTATTTTATTATTAGCTGCTGACTCTTTATTTTTTACTGTTTTTAACAATTTAATAGATTTTAATTTAGAAATAATCATATTATTTAACTTTACATGTACAAAAATTCCACTGGTTGATTCAGGACTGTTTGTAATGTTGTGTGACAAAGTAACTCTCAACAGAAATATTTTTTAATGATGTTACTGCATTATGCTCAGTAAAGTTACCAGCTGAAAATCCCACATTCGTTCTTTTATGCAAGAGCAGATTTTTGTTTTGTGTCTATTTGCCATATCAGTTATCCTGTTTAAGGACTCGGCAGGAAAATAAGATATGTCAAGAGAACCAAAAAATAAAGTACTTATATTAGTAGTAAACATACAAATACCACAAAGTGAAAATAGAGTAAATCTATTAGTAGTCCTTGATTGAAAATGTTACTTGATATGTTGGAAATACACTTTAAGTAATAAATTGAGCAGAAATGTGTCCTCTTTGTCTTTAATAATTACTCAGAGATCGAAGTGATATCTTCACAATGTTTGTTTCATATAACCAACAATCCAAACCTCAACATTATAAATCCTCACAGTTTTGAAGCTGAACATTGTTCTTGCATTGATAATGACTTATACAATTTGTTTAATAGTTGACTTACATTCTTTAAATCAATTAATAGACTTAAAGTTTCAGCTATACTTAAATATTTAAAAATGTTTTGTTTGAAAATAATCTTAATTTCTTAAGTACCAAAGCTCTCCAATATTTGAAGTGGAGAACTATAACTATATTGTTTCATATAGTTCCCTCCCAAATAAAATGAAGTAATAAAACATACTCAAGTTAAGTGCAGGTATCTCAAATTGTTCCTTTAGTATGTTACAGTCAGGATACTTGAGTACATGTTCTTAGTTACACTTCACAACTCGTTAATCTCTGTAGAGTTAATATAGCCATTTTCTATTAGACACTTGGCTAAATCAAGCAAAGGCTCTCAGGTCAGAAGGATGTGAAGACCCTAATACATGAGCCCACAAAACAGTTTTTAGTGAGTCTTAAAATCTGAGAAAGAGACAAACTGTGATTCAACCATAGATCCTGAGGCAGAGCAGATGTGAACACTTCCTTCACTTCACAGAGTATTTATTTAGAAGACCACCAGGGGGCAGTAATGTCAAATTAATGAATCTTTAATCCAATTTTGTAAAAATAATCTTAATTCATTTAATGTGGAATACCTTCATATTTTGGCAGCTTCTACAGTGAATGTAGTGGATGTCCCAGGATGTAGTGATTACAATGTATTGTGATTACAGTACTATGTGGTGTAACATTGTATCAGCCAATTCCTTCTAGTCAGGCTATTGTAACAGAAGCACTGTGGAAACAAACATCTTTCCATTAGGGTCCATCAGATTCCAAACTAGTGTGTATTGTTGAACGTGTCCCATGTGATTTATCATTGAGTGTGTAACCTAAAACATGATACACATTGTGAGTTAAACACATCATCATAGTTGTTACATGTTTACATGCAGTTGTGCACATGCTTATCTTGTGCATTGTGTCCAAATAAACATTTGCATAGTGACCCTGAACTAAATGTATAATGGGAGAGTATTTAACTAATCTCTTCACATTTGACACTCATAACTAACCTAACCTTATGATGAAATGTTTCTTAATGAGAATGCTTGGAACTAAAGTTTAAAGGGGATTGTTTGCTTATGTCATACACCTGCCAAGAAATACGTACTTCCTGTTCCTCATCATGACCGTAAATAGGAGATGCATCATATTTATTTTGTGAAGGCGATAAGATAATAGAAGCATCTGCTCCTTTCCCATCAATTAGTGTGCAACTACAAAGTGAAATCTATGACACTGAATATAGTCATGATTATAATAAACTACAAAATGTGTCACGAAATAACCATTTAACAATTGGCATAACAATTATGCTGATGAACCAAAATTAATATAAGAGATGGCTCAATACCATTCTGCAGGCTTTTAATATATAATTGGTATCAATGCACTTTGCAAAAGAAGCCATTTAAAACACTCATGAATTGTTGAAAGTGCAGTTTTGTGCAAAAGTTAAATCTGGGTATTCAGAATAACAGAGGAAAAACAATTCTAGTGTAAAATACTTGATATAACTCAACACTCAATGGAGCCTACACGTTAATGACAGTTGATTGTTTAGGCTAATGTATAATATGGGATTTTACATTGTTCCCTGTCTAATATCATATCCAAAACTCAGTATGGGATCGGTACATCCCTACTTTTCAAACCCGATTACAGATGACACCAGTTTATCGGTAAGTATTTGATAATGACATAACACAGTTATTAATTCATTTTTCTTCTTTAAACCAATACATACTTCCTCTCACATTCTCAACAACAGTGACTGAACCTGTCATTTTGAACCGGATCTATTCACCAGCATAAGGGAGGCTTAAAAACTCAAGCGTTTCATCAGAATAATTTACAGCACTCAAGGTGATTCACATAATTGGAAAACACAAAGTTTAGTAACTGTGCAATTTCCTCACTTCCTTAGTTACGAACGTCCATCTCTAGTGTACGCCCTTTCAAATGCTTCAGTTAGGGCGATTCCTTAATTTTGCTTCTTGTTTTTTTGTTTTGTCTTTACTCATGTGTTTCACTTCTTGGTAGCACTGAGTATGACAGGAGGTGGCTCTATGTTGAGCTCTTGTCGGAGGTCTTCGATGTTCTGCTCCCATCGTCTCTCGTAGAAGATACTGAGGACGCAGCGGGCCCGACGACCATTGTGAAGAGCCCAAGGGCCCAAGGATGTGAACAGCTGCTGTAGACGGCTTGGAGAAGGGGAATTGAGAGGAGGAGGAGTTTAGCATGGTGCCAGAATATGTAGAGATAATGTGTTACCTAAACCAGTTTCAACAGAAAGCACAAGTAACTTCAGTTACTGAATGAGGAAGGATTACTGATTTACAGTTAACAGGCATTGTTTCATCTCAACGGTAATAATGGTGGGTTTGTTTCCTCTTATCGTCTGAGCAGGACAAATGCCAAGTAGTTGCTTGGTGGGCCATATATATTTGTCAAAGTAGTGGTAATGCTTTTTAACATCTGTGTTATTTACAGATTAAAGGCTGAGTCCTATGTATCCTAAGAGGCCAATTTAATTGAATAAATGAAATCACAAATACATATTTGATAAGAAAATGTATTGCCAACTGTGTTGATATTCGTTAACTTTTCAACAAAAATGCAAAAATGTTCAGCTTTCAGCATATATTATGACAGACTAAATATGTCATCTGGTTATATCACAATTGAAATGATTATAAAACAATTGGTAAATCAAGAAACAAATCGAGAAATTAATCCCCGATTAAATTGTTTTTCTTTGCAGGCCAAAACTATTCAGAGCAAATCAAAGCACCGATTCTGCCTCCATCAGCTTGGATTTTTGCTGAGTTGAACAGTTGAGCTTGAATATAATATTTAATCAAATATTTTCACTCAAACTGTAACTAACTGTACCTTCGCTTTTATTCCTATGGAGCTGACTGCTCTTACTCTCCTTGGTACAGTACTACGTTGCAGGTTTAAAATCTGGTATTGTACCTTGGATTCAACCGCAGTGGCCCCAGCACAGCTCCAAGCGTACACATGGGAAGGCCAGTCTGAGCAGCTTCAAACCATTTCACTGCCACTTCACCTGAAAGCAGAAAGAACGGAGAGAAAAATACAAAGTTATCAAGATTATAACCTTATGCTTTTGGTTTTTCAGCAATTTAAAGAAAAACTCTTGGGTCAATGTACATAATACTTAGTAGAAGGATTTCGATTTGGCCAAAGAAGAACACATAAAATGGTGGAGCGGACTCGTATCAGGGGTAACAATGGTAGGGGTATGCTTTATTTTTTTCACTGATTGTAGTGTCTTAAGCGGACAGCAGTGCTATCTGAGTGACCTTTTCATTCCAGATTAAAGGGGGAAGAGAAAGCTAGATTTAGGTCAACATTGCAAACCAATCCAACTTTTGCGAAGCTTGATTGCTAAAAAATGTTTGTTCCTTCTCTTTAGATGTTCTCCAGGTCAATCTAATAGTGCATGGTGAGCAAGAAAAAAAAGCTCACATCAGTATTTTGTAGGAAATGGCTTTCTAGAGCAGGCTATTCTTATAGACAGTTGGGAAGTAAAAGAAGGAAATCAAATAACACATGAAGTTGAGAAATTCATTGTTCAGCCAGACACCAAATGTGTGGCTCCAGGTGCACCCTACCACTAGCATTGTTTGCCAAGTAAAAACATCTTCCTGTAACTGTATTCATTGATTTGATTGTAGAGGCCACATTTGTGCAGGATGTGTTGGAAATGTAATGAAGTAATATTTTACTCACCCAACATATTGGTGGGCATGCCCAGTAAGGTGTGCAGTAAATCATGGACCTCTCTGTATCTCTGCATAACGTAAGCTAGCTCCTCATTGTCCACATACTTCACGTCTGCCCTTGAGTCTGGAGTCACATGCTGACACAACAGGAAAGGTTATCCATGAGTGAAGACAAAACAGAAACTTAAAATCAGGGAATTCTGAGGAAATGTTAATCTTGTTGTAATCAGTCTTAACACAAACACTCACATTGTCCTCCAGGAAACGACAGTATTCCCTCCCAAAAGATCCGTCGGGCAGAGAGGACATCTCGCTCAGATTAAGCGTAGACAGACGGATTCTGGGCCTTTCTCTGCATTAACAAGTACAACTGAATACACATTTCATTCAATGTGTAGAAAATACTGCTTAAGAGCGCCTATATTAAAAAGCTACTGAATAGTGTTACAGTGACTCACGTAAGGATAGTGTAGCCTTCAGGGTCGTTTCTCATCTTTTCCCTGAGATTTATCAACGCTAGGTGTCCTGTTGTCTCCCCCAGCACTGCAACCATGTCTGCAGGGAGAGTTTTATGAAATTATCCCCAATGCCAAATTTGAACAAAAAGGAAATTGTTTCACTGCACTGTTATCATATTTTGATAGTCTTTAATGTTGTATTGTTATATGTGTGCTGTTTGTCATTTTTTATCTGTACTCGAGTTTCCCCCAGTGGGACAATAAAGAACCAAAATAAGAATAATTATATGCTATGAAATGTACAATATAGAGATTTTATGAAAATGTTATTACAAGTCCAATAATAGATTGTCAAAAAACATGTGGTACATTTAGGCTTAAAAATGTTTTAACTTGTGACTAGCATCACATTAATAGATGTAAGGGGCATTCCAGAGAAGTTACCCATAAGGCTCAAATAACTCACCACAGAGAGTATTACTCAGCCTATGAAAACAGCTGTTAAATGTCTTATTTAGGAGATTTTTAAAGTCTGGAAGAAATGTCTGGCTCAAAATGACAAATGCCGATGTCATCGTTTGTGGAAGTTAGAATGACCTGGGTGTTTGCCAGGTAGGAAGAGGCACAAGTTTGAAAAAAAACACTAAATCTGTAGGATCTAGCATTTATGGATATCACCCGATACTAAAAGGGAAAAAACACAACAGTTGTTAGCGCTCTCTTCCTCCAAGAAAGTTTCTGGGTAACTGCACTAAATGATGTGGCCTCTCTTGGTGTATAATTTCATTTCTGTTTTCAAGACATTTTAGAAGCATATACCAGTGATCTCCAGAGAATAAAAGATTGAAAATGACTGACTGTACTTGAACAGTTCATGAGAAAAGAAACCCACGGTACTTTCCCTGACTCTTGGTTTCCTTTGACTGTAGAATGATGCATCAAATTCTTTGTTTGAATTATAAATTTTAGAATTCATTCGGCACTGTACTAACAATTTAGTTGAATTTACCTTCAAAAACTAGTTTGACCAGATATTCTTATCACAAGGTTGAAAAACTGAATTATTTTGCAGGGCTTTAGTTCATTGTGTGGTTTTCAGCAGTGAACTCTGGGATCTTTTTCAGATAATATTTCTGAAGGCTCAGGAAAACAGTAATGTATGGAAAGGTCTTATATTACTTTTTGTTAATGTTATTTGTGTTATTTGAAAAAGCTATAGATTTAGAGTGAAATACTTGTTCATTCCCGCTAGGCAGAAAATATACAGGATTTTGATGAATTTCTAACGTAAGGAACATTAGGGGTTTTCTTGCATCACCGGCAGAGTTATCTCCATATTTGTCTATACAGTTGTTCGTCCAGCAGTGGGCTGTACAACTGTATTCAGCCATAAAAGGGAAGGCTATTTTGGGGTCTTTTTTGAGATTGCCTTAATTTGATAGTTGAAATACAGGTTAGAGAATGCAAGGGGGGTGGCATGCAGCATGTCACCAGCCAGATTAAACCCAGACGTTAAAGTAAGCCTATATTTGTATCCGTCTTAACCACCTTGCCCTTTAAAAAGAGATGTAAAGTGAACAATAGACATGCACAGACAATAACAAATAATGCGGCTTGAGCCCCATGATATTATGTGTGAGTCTCACCATGTCTGTAGGGGTTTTGTAGTGCAGCCACTCCTGACCCCACAGCCAACAGGGCCTTCTGGATGGGAGTGGTGTGGATATGTCCAGGATACAGCCCATCATAGCAGCCGTCTGTAAACCTAGTTCTACTGCTGTGCACCTTGTGGACACACACTGTTGACAAAAAGAGAGATCAACATTAAAGGACTGTTTGACAACTGGACCAAGACAAAGAAATTACACACTAGTTAATTATTTTTTTTATTGCACGCATAGAACAATAATAACTCATGCACACCAATTAATCAATTCATCAATTCAATTCATTCACCAATTGATCTACAGGAGCTAGTAAAACCAGCAATATACTATTGCAAGATGTAGTGTACAACACAAGTCCTAGGACAGTATGTGCTTATGTTGGAGAGAAAGCGTGTATGTATTAAAAGTCTGAATGTGCAATGAGATATATAAAAAAAGTGAATAAGATCATCGATCAAAAGCTGCTTGTCTTCATTCATAAAAGTCATTGACTTGAGAAATGTCATTCATAAATCACTGACATCTATTTAAAGATAACTACAATGATCTTCACCTACTGTGGACAACACCAATCATCTTACTATGTAATACATAATATAGTATTAAGATACAACGTGAATTGTATTTAGCTAGTTACATTTATACAACATAGCTGTTGGCTTAATAGTGAAACTGTTAACTGTTAACGCAAACAAGGCTTCGACATGCACCAAATTCTATCTGAAAACAGTTACATTTAATCTCGATAGCTAGATTTCCTTAAAAGCCATGTTATGTTAATCATTTTTATAAAATAAAATGTAACGTTTGCTGTATAAATGCATACCTTTTGAGAGCAAAACGTATTGTGGCTGAATCAACCGCTGAACACTTCTACTGAAGGACAGCCACATTGTTAACGCTAATGCGCATGCGTCATCTGCTATTGCAATCGCTTTCTTCTCCGGTGCAGCCCGGATGAGGGGGCGGAGTCGGACCGTTTACTATACAGTCTATGCTATTAACACTGAACAGTCCACAATTTCGTTCCACACAGCTGCCTTTAATCACAAAGTAAGCGCACTTAGGAATAGAAACGTAAACATAGCTAAAGGTTGACCTGTCCTTCTGAGGCAATAGCGGACGAAATTGTGTTTTCTGCAGAGATATTGTCCAGACGCCAAGGTTAGTTTGCTGAGCTTGTGTTTCTGCTTACCAGGGCAATAGTTTAGCATTTTACTAACTGTTACCAAATTAATAGGTTGGTCAAACACCGCGTATCTTATCAAATTAGCCGCCTAGAGTTGCGAAAGCGAGCTAACTCCACCAACCGAAAAGTAAAGTGCGAGAAAGCTAATTGTTTAGCTACCCCATTGCTTGTTTTTCTGCCAATAACACACGCAAAAACCATTTACATATGATACTTGCACATGTTATTCGGTAGCATAAAAGCACTGTGTAACTTCCCAGAAGACTATGTATGAGTGTGTGTGAGGGAGGTATGACTGAACAGCCGTTGCACTCCGTGGTTTAAATACTCTGTGTGACGTGGAGGGAGTGACTATAAGTACTAAGGTTGGGTGTTACTGCGTTTTCTCGGATATCAGGGAAACTTAGCAAGCTGGGTGAGTTATATTCTGTTTTGTGTTTGAGTGCAATATCTCAGAAAGGTTTGCAGTCCCTTGGCAGGGGTTTTAAAGAGACACTGAGCAAAAACATGGCGAGGGCAGGGAGAGCAGATGGGTTTTCAGTGGCTTCAAATGGCTGCTACTAGATTTTAAAAAACAGGACGTGAGAGTTGTTTGTTCTACTAAAGTTATTCATATGTAGACTAAAAGCTAGCTTTGGTTGTATTTTACGTTCAAGGATATGTTTTGATTGAGAATGCAGCTACTTGTGTTCATTCTTTCACCATTCTTCAACTGTTATGCAATTGTAACTGGAAAGCCAGTTTGAAAATACTTTTTTTTTTTTATCAGAGCTCAGTCTTTTAAGTGTAGGGTTGCTCTCCTAGTACTTGAGTTCTTCTTTGTGGCATGTTCAGTGAAACATAACAGACTGTACTGGTCGTTGGATTACACTTCTCAACATGGTTGAGCTCATGACAAAGGAAGTTACCATATGGCTTGTATATGCCTGATTTAATGATAGTTTTAATTGGGTTTATAATAGCTACTCTCTCAAGGTTTCTATGGATACATAGCTAAACAAGAGAGGGCGAGTGTTAGTGTGCAACTAAGGCTTGGCTCATTTGCCTTTCTTCTACAGTTGGACCAGTTTAAACATTGGAATTTGTCCAATCTGTGAGTAAATATTAGTCAGCCTGCAATGGTGATGTGTCATAGAGATATCAGGGAAAAGTAGCGTGGCTTTCCAATGATAAGCAGCATTGAGCTTTTTCTAAGACGTGTGTGACAGAGTTCTACTTGAAGTTAGTATAAAGTTATCTTGGGTGGAAGGTGACACTGAATAATTACTAATCATCTTTGTAGGAAATTCTATGGAAGATGAACAGGGTTGTAACATTGTACCCATACTGCATTTGTGTATATCTAAGAAATTGAAACAAAAAAAGAAGAAAAAAGTGTGTGTGTGTGGTTTTAATGTGTTAATATATTTACCTATAAACTCATAAAAACACAGAGCATCAACATTAGGAAAACAAAACATCATAATAGTTTAGACTCTATACTTTATACATATTGGAATCAAAAATGCTTAATAATGCCATCTTTAAAGTTGGGATTTATAATAAATGTATCTTTAGCTGCTTAACTTCCTGAATTAAATAGAAAAGTATTGATGGGTGTATGCATGTAACTTGAAATATTATGTAACTCTCTTTATATTCTTAAGGCTATTATTGCTAATGGCTACTAATGCATTACTGGTCATATGATCCCTTGGAACCATTTAAGTCCCATGATAAGCAAGACTCTAACTTTTAGTCTTGTGATCATGACATGTTTATTATGAACATTAGATTTGAGGGTTGTGGGCCTGTTTTGTAGATTGCAGTGTGCTTCAAATGAGTTTGTGGGCGACAGTAACCTTTTTAATTGCTTAGTGTAATTTATCTTGGTTAAGTATTGATCCCAGAACCACTGTTGAGCCCACTTCTCTATACAGATATCATCCTAACTTGTATGCCACATCAGCACATTTGTGTAAGCCTGTGTCAGCCTCAACAGTGTGTGACACTGTGTGACTTTCTATTTACAGAGGCTCATCATTTTCATAAAGTTTGCCTGTCATTTTGTGCTTAGTGTACTTTCCCTTCAAATAATGAAGGTTGAAAATATATTGGAATAACCATTGGAACTACTTGCTGTGTGTTTTTTGTGTAAACATCAGTGGCATTTTAAATGGCACAGAATTATAATTTATGAGTTTAGCTTTATAGGTGTTGTCTTCAGCTTCAGTTTAAAAGGTGGATCCAACCCTCCTCAAAGCTATTTGGCGTGGCTTGTATTGTCTAGAGTTCGAACCAGATAAACGAGGCCATAATAACATTCTGGCTGCACACAAGAAGAAATATTTCCAAGGTTAATTTATTCTGTCGTGGCTCATATTCGAAGCCCAGTTTCCCAGTACACTTACATTAACAAAATGTTGACATGCAGTACTTGCATACAGTAGCACACCATTTTCTGCCGCTTTCTGTAATATTAAGCCCATTTTGGCACTATGACTGGCAAACGGCTGTATGCATATTTTCTCATGGAGAGCTCCATGTAGGCGTGGGGGAAAATGTCATATATCATATATGACATCTGCTGGTTTATTGGGAAAGCACACCCCACTCATTTCTCAACCATAAGGGGTTTATTTAATGACTAAACATGTAACTAACAGATAATACCTTCAAAGAGCAGACATTTCTGAGAATATGTTTGTAAAGGTTTCTTAATGCAAAAGAAGTACAACCACAACCTTATTTCTGCACTTCATGCAGCCAGCTGTCAACTATTCACATAATAGGCTTTGTACTCTGACCATGATGTTGCATTTTACTTACCATAATTGAAGAAATACAGGTTTAAGCCCTGGCAGTGTAGCTTGAGTTACTACCACTACCATAGCTTTTGAGTTGGAAGCTGATGATAAAATATATCTCAGCCACAATCAGTGGGGTTTCGTTTTTGGTTGTTAAAAGAACATAAAGTAATGGCTGATGGTGCATAACCAGCCACACTTACTTTAAGCCTCGTAAGCAGGTTATAGCTGTTTGGATAAGAGGTGTAAAGTCCAGTTGCATTGTTTGACTTCGCTATGGGGAGTAGTGTGTTCATAGTGCATAAAGACAACAGTCGACTTTTGCTCCACTTGTGAAGAAAGTTACTTACAACAGTAAAGGTCAGTTAATATTATAACCATAATAAACTAATATACACCAGTTCCCGCTCACACTAAGCAATACTAAGGCAACATATTATTTAATTGGTAGGAAAACACGCAGACTCAAACTCATTTAATCGGTCCACTTGTTTACATTTACTAAGGTGTCATTAGGGACACTTCCACAAGGGGGCACCAAAGGAAGAGATATTCAAATCCTAAAAATAGGGGCTTTACATTTACAATCTTACATTATTATTATTATTATTATTATTATTATTAAGGATACCATACAATAAGAGTATTATTATAATACTGCAGACTCTGATCCATTAGGCGTTGTGTTGTTGTCTATATATTATGGGCAGAGCCTATAGTAACCACTAGGTGGCCGCACAGAGAAAAGAAGTGCGAATTATTCGTTTTTTGTAGTGACTTTTGTACAGTCTGCCGTAGAAACCCTAACACTTTTTGCTTAGTTAATGTGGCATACAGTTTTCCTGACTCATAGCTTGACACAACTTTTGTTGAGCAACATTTGATAGACTTTTGTTGTGCAAGAAGAAAAGATCCAGCATGAAAGATCGACCACATGAGGGTGCTGCAACCAGCAGATGACCTCGTTCCTTTTTTATAAGAACATTTGGAAAGATATCTTGGTATCAGTGGATATCTCAGCAGATAATTCAAACTTTGCACGCACCTCATATATCACATAGACTTTGTTGATAAGGAAAGCGGAAAGGACAAGCCATTCTACCACGATGTACAATTTAGGCTTACAGCAAAGACATGCTAATGGTGAATTAGCCAATACATTATGGCTATTCCTTTCATGATGTCTCATTAAAATTAATTTGCTCAAAGGTTCCATTGTAGCCTCAATGGTTTTACATCTATTTGAATCTCATGCAAAGCCAATGGTTTTTGCATTTCTTTTAAGATAAACATTCAATACTAGCATGCCTACATAATCTGGCTGTGACATATACAACATGTTTGTTTGCAGGGTGTAGCAGCTGAATGTGATGCGGTTTCACAATAATATATCAGCCTTATTATCCTGTCACTGTCCACATATTTGCTTTGGGCGTGCATGGTTGACATATTGCGGTTGATAAGTGTTGTGAAATGTTCTTTACTTCTAAAAGTCTTGGTCTTCATGTATGTGGTATTCATGTGTGTGGTATTCATTCACAGGATATTGCACCAGATTGATGGAGAAGAATGGCCTACATCTCGATGGACTGCCCCAGCTCTTTACCAGGGATTCCTCAAAGTGTGCTGTCTGTGCCCATGGAGAATAAGTACAAATGTCAGCAGTGTCACCAGGTCCTGAGGAAGCCTGTCCAGGCCCAGTGCGGACATCGCTTCTGTGTACACTGCTTCAAGCAGCTCACCAGGTACACTGGAAGTCTACAGACCCTCCTCAGCCGTGTGAAATTCCAACCCCTTCACCCCCTAATGCTTACCCTCTTACCGGACATGCTTCAGCACATCCTGTGTTCTTATCTCTGCTCGCCCTCGGGGTTTTTTGTTGCAACCAAGATCAATTACTTTAATCAGACTCATGACTCACATGACTGGACTCTTTTACTGAGTGAATCACAAGGGTCTGACCCTGCTGACTCATTCTAAAGGTGTCCATTGTTTCCTTTTCTGTTTCTTATATCACTGAGTCATGCATTGGGAATTATTTACGGATAGACAGTTGTTTCACATGATGTTTAATCATACTTTGGCAGTATCATTAAACATAAGGTCATTACATCATTTAGCAACTATACATAGAACCATACATTAAACGAAACTCAATAGCATGTACGTACTTTCAAAACAACCCCTAAGAGTTTTTTATGTTCACATTTGCCTTTGTACATTTCAGTATGTGTGCAACAACATGTACCTAATCTTTATAACCACACATGAAATTGAGGTGATTTCACACGACCTATTTGAAAACCACTTCTGCATACTATATGGGAAAACATCATGTTATAATGATTATTTCACATGTACTTGTTTGTGTGTGTTCTTCCTGTTAGACATACATTATCAATGTCAATGTAGTGTGTTTTACAATAAAGTCACAAACCTGTTTTTTCAGTTCTGGCCCGAAGCCTTGTGAAGCCTGCCGCGAAGAAGAGATATACGAGGAACCTTTTTCGATTCTAAATAGTAATGAGGTAAGTAATGAAGTACTCCTTTGGTCAGCCAACATTTTTATTTCATGAGACAGCTTGCCTTGCCTCACTCACACCCTGATTCAAAAGAATGTTTCCTTCACAACAGCCTTACACAATGAGGCCATAATATGCTATAATAATAATAATAATAATGTTCTTTGTTCGCCCAGGCATTTCCAGACAATGCAGCAGGACGAGAAATAGCAAGCCTGCCTGCCAGGTGTCTGAACGAAGGCTGTGTTTGGACAGGCTCCATAAAAGAGTATGAGGTGAAGTATAAATACTTTTTTCTTTTGTCATTGTGGATGTATTCACTGCTTTCTACTTGAGTATTTTTAACCATGAAAAACTGTCAGTTTACTCCATCCAAACCTGTGCTGTCCTGTATTTGTTATTATTTAGAAACACTTTTTACGCACACTGGGTTTTCCCTCTCAAATATTCTACATTCTGAATCGGGGCCTCATGTTGTACACTTGGGTGTGTTGCATGCTTAGCAGCACTGTTGCTAGAACAGAGAAACAGGAAGTGAAACTTGATATGCAGCCTGGAAAGTCCCCATGTTACCAGTTTGGATAACAACAAGCACCCAGTAGGAAAGTACCAGAATGAATAAAGGACACTCGAGAATAGCTTGTGTACTTATTCAAGGTTGGGTTGACCATGACCTGATATTGAAACTAGATTTAGGCTACACCAAAAGGGAAATCCTAAATGTATACACTGTGAGACATAAAACGGGAACAGCTTCAGACAGAGAGACACGTCATTCAGACACAGTGTTATCTATAAACACAGAAAAGCCCCGTTCCATAATCATTAAAGCTGCGTGTGATCTTTGTTCAGTTTTTACTATAAATACCAATGTGTGTTTGGGGGAGGGGGATTTTAGAGTTGACTTCCTGTTGTTTTTTCTGTAAAAACAGAGCTACACAGTTACCCTATCTAGCACAACACAGGAAACATAAATATAGTGTCATGGCAGGAAGCATTCAAACACCAAGCAGATGCTGGAGATTATATTTGCATGATTTTCAAATGTGGTTCTGGCCGGTTAACCTGCTGACGCTGTAACGAAAAACACGTGCTAGTTTGCAACGACAACATGGTCAATATTTGATTACAGCTTTTGAGAAATGATTACTAGGCGGTGTAAGACACTCGCGTGTTTGTGGGAACATTTGTGTGCGGCTGTCTTAGTCACTGTCTTGTGGAAAGTGTTGCGATGTCTTTAGTTAGCCACACACCGAACTAGCTGGAAAAAAAGACTAAACGTGGTGTTAGAGTGGCGCAGTATCGAGAGGGATTTGACTCAGAAGCCGCTAAAGATGATTCATATTGGATTTGGTTATTCATTTCGAGAATTGCCGGTGTAGCGTGTCTGAAAAGTAAAGCGAAAACAGGTTAGCCTACCTGTGGTTCCAGCACTGTGGCTCCTGCGTGTTGTTGCTTCGTTATGATAGAGGAAACGCTCACATCCACAGGCTCCACCTCACATTCGAGCTCCACCCCGTTCCTTTCCCGGCATTTTTCGAAAAAGATGCCATTTAACACTTTAGAGCTATCAAAACATATTTTTTCCAGTTGCTCGCACTTCACTTTTTTTATTTCTGAGCTTCTCTTTTTTGTACCTTATTCCTCATCTTCCATTGACTTCCTATTTACGGTCAGATGTTTGAAAAAGTTAACTTTTTTAAGTCTCACTTCTTTTAATCATTTGTGTTTTTAACATGCATATATTACAAGCAAATACATTGTACATCTCAGAATATGTTTTGTATTTCCACATTTCAACTGTCAGAACATTTTGTATGCTCCCATGAACGGGTGTGGCTGTCATTTGTACAGAGGTGTAATCTTAACAATGATAACATAACTGTCAACGAAGTTTTACTGACAAGGTTCATTAATCTTCCTGTTAAATTACACCCTTTGCATGCCAAGTCTGCTGTTGAACTATAAAACACACCTGTCGATCTTTGGTATCATTAAAAAGACGGTGAATACCAGACACATATAGGAAGTAACAATGATCTAACTATATATCTGTCCTCCATTGTTAGGCTCAGCATGAAGGTCGTTGTGAACTTGAGCGGGTAAAGTGCGAGGCCTGCCAAAACACGATCCTTCTTTCGGAGAAGGACAAACACAATGAGAGAGAATGTGAAGAAAGAACGCTAAACTGCAAATACTGCAAAACATCCTTCAACTTTAAAGAGATCAAGGTGAGAGATGATCGAGTGTAAAGCGGTTGCTAGTGGATTATGTATAAACGGGACACAAAATAATATTATCATGCTCCTTTGTGTCTTTTAGGCCCATGATGAGATCTGTCCAAAGTTTCCCTTACAATGCAAAGACTGTGGCAAGAAGAAGATCCCAAGAGAAAAGGTTTGAGCTCTTCCTTTAATTATTTACTGTAAGGGTGATTAGTTGGCATGGAAATGCTTGGCAATTTCCTCTCCTAACAAAGGCTCTTAGCTGCTATAATCTTAAAATAAATCTTTATTGCAACCGTCAGTTGTACTCTTTGTACTGCACATTCAATTCACTGACTAGATTCGTGCTACAAAGAGCCTTCATTGCTTTATTATACCTGCAATATAATTTATCTGGTTATGAGATACATGTGAATTCCCAAGACTAATCATCTGAAAAAGTATTTTTTCAAATGGGGAATGAGTGCCTAAGTTTCTTTCTCTCTAACACACTTTCACTTTTCTGTTTCATGTTGACACAATGTTTGAAGTTTGCCTGCTGACCTTTTCTATTATTTGATTCTACCTTCAGTTCAGTGACCACAGCAAATCCTGTGCCAAGTCAAAGAGTGCCTGTCCCTTCAGTGATGTGGGCTGTAAACATGTGGTACGTAAGGAAATCTATTCAAACACAATGTTTCTTTTGTGTTGTTACTTTCTTTGTTCTCTATTGACGCAGGCCCATACTAATAAGATACGATAAAATGTTACTGTCAGTTGAAATGATATTGTATCTTGCATCGCATGCTCAAAGCAATGAACAGAATGACAGGACAAAAAATTGAGGAAATCTACCAGGTCACCTTCCAGCAAAATCTGCTAGAAAATGGATTTATCCCTTGTCACGCACACACACACACACACACACACACACACACACACACACACACCCTTGACCCTACAGTCACCTGCAGCATTCATATGGATACAAATACGTCATAGACTTTCAAGGAAATCTCTTGAGGCCAAGAGTGAAAGTGAAGATGAATCCTATCAATACTGTTAATGTAATGCTACTGACAGGAGAATTTAGATTAGGTTAGCATACAATAAGGGAAGTGGGTGCAAAGAGCTGGCCTGGCTCAGTGCCAAAGCACCTAAATAGTTGTACTTCCCTAAAAGAGACATACATATAGACACAGAAGCTACCATTTGAAGCTACCAGTACACAGAAGCTACCAGTACACAGAAGCTACCATTTGAAGCTACCAGTACACAGAAGCTACAATTTGAAGCTACCAGTACACAGAAGCTACCAGTACACAGAAGCTACCAGTCTTTATGCCAAGCTAAGCTAAAGGCCCTCTGGCATTCAGATGTAGCGTGGTATGAACACATGTTTTCCTCAAGAATTTCCTGAGCTGGCTTCACTGGTAAGCAGTGGGTGGGCTCAGTTTTATAAAGATGATGTCACACATGTGAGCACCAATCAGGAGTTAGCAATATTTGAATTTAAACCTGAGTATAGTTGAGATTGTAATTTATGTTGCAACGGCTGCAACTGAGAAAACTCCTCCACACACAGTCCTGGTGATTAGATGGGTTTGGCCTGCTTAAACTGTCCTAATAAAATACATAGAAATGTTATATAATAGTCTTGGAACATTTGATGTTGTTAATGTTTTACATGAAAAGAAACTATGATTGGTAAATCCTGAAAAACTGTCTATATTTTTCTTATTAAAACAGGCACAATTTTATCAACACCATTATGTCCTACAATTTTCAAGGTTTCAGTTCAGAATCAGAATCAGAATACCTTTTATTAGTCCCACAGATTGGAAAGTTACATTGTTACAGCAGAAAAGAGCCAAAGGCAGCTTAATGTTACCTAATGCATAAAAAGAAATATTTAAATATTTATATATAAAAAAAAAAGAAGAATAATAGACCTAACCAAGCTGGGTCTTGTTTCTCAGATAGAGAACGGGAAGCAGAGCGACCACGAGCACAGCAGCACCATGGAGCACTTGCGTCTGCTGCTGCCCATGGTGCTATCCATCGCCGTGCCGCCCAGCGATGCTTCCGGTCCCGGAGAGTGGCAGGAGGACTCAGGTCTGGGCCTGTACAGGGCCCCTGAGGAGGGGGTCAGTATGGGCTCTGGAGCTGCAGCCTCCAGTCAGTCTATGGACCTAGATAAAAAGGTGAGTCTCAAAGGATGAAATGCTCTTTCTTAAGATCCTATTATGAATGAGGGTCTAAATATATCTCTTGGTGTGTTTTTCTGACAGGTAAAAGCTTTGGAAAACATTGTGTGTGTCCTGAACCGAGAGGTAGAGCGCAGTGCAGTTACTTTAGAGGCTTTCGCACATCAACATCGTTTAGACCAGGACAAAATAGAAAATCTCTCCAGTAAAGTGCGTCAGCTGGAACGGACAATCGACATGAGGGACTTGAAACTGTCGGAAACTGAGCAACTGGTGCGGGAACTTCAGTTCTGCACCTTCGACGGGATCTTTGTGTGGAAAATCTCTGACTTCTCACGCCGCAGACAGGATGCCGTGGCCAGTCGAACACCCGCCATGTTCTCTCCAGGTGTGATAAAAGACCTAATCAACATCATCCATTTCAAAGGCCTCTGGTCTCAGCTGAAAGGTTCTTTTTGAACTTGAGTAGGCTTAGATCATGTGGTTTATGTGATGGGTTGGCGTCATACAGTCTATGGTTGGCGTGCAAACGAGGGAAATTCCACTTCCCTACACCCTTGTTGTTGAGGGAGTGAACATGTTACTCCCTCATGTGACACATGACCTTTGTTTATAGGCTCTGGTTACATTCTTCTTTTTCCTCCTCACAGCATTTTATTCCAGCAAATACGGCTACAAAATGTGTCTGAGGCTGTATTTGAATGGCGACGGGACGGGTCGAGGGACTCACCTTTCGCTGTTCTTTGTCGTCATGAGGGGAAAGTGCGACGCTCTCCTCAAATGGCCCTTCAGTCAGAAGGTAGCAAAACTTTATCAATAGTGGTGACGCATATTATAACACACTTCATAATCTGCTTACAGCACTGAATAATTATACTGATCACAAATTATACACATCCGATTATCACAAATTATAAAGCATTTTGTAATCACTATAAGGTCAAGTATTATAATATTAACAATACAACATTTTAGCATTATAATTCCCGTACCTATAATGCATTATAATCTTTCATAACTCATATAAGCAGTCCTTGGTTGCTTAAAGTGAAGTGGACAAAAATATTGTTAAATGTTAGCAAGAAAACACAACAAACGCTTTTGGACGATAAAAAACTGAAAGCTGGACAAGTACTTTGCACTTAATGATGTAATTGTACCAAAGACAGTCTCTCTGAAGACTCACATCACACAAAATACAGATAAAACCTGAAATAACGTTATACTTTTACAGACATGCTAACCTACAGTTGCCAGGACGACTAGCTGAAACAGTCTCTTTCTCTCTCCACAGGTGACGCTGATGCTCTTGGATCAGAACAACAGGGAGCACATCATCGACGCCTTCCGGCCCGACGTCACCTCCACCTCCTTCCAGCAGCCCATCAGCGAGATGAACATCGCCAGCGGCTGCCCGCTCTTCTGCCCGCTCGCCAGGCTGGCCGGCAAGAGCCCCTATCTGAGGGAGGATACCATCTTCATCAAGGCCATCGTGGACCTCACAGGCTTGTAGGGTGTTTCTGTGGAAGCTACACCAAAGCAAACTGAGACAACAGGACACAAACTATTACTATATAATATATATATTTACATAATATTATATAGATATGTACTGTATCTAAGACATAACATTTTAGATATCTAAACTATATATATCAAGAATGCCACCAGTGGTCCCTTTAAGACGGAGTTATAACGGTGAGTTAAATAATAGCGGTTGTCAGCTGTTGTGGTTTAAGTATCTATTTTTTGTAGAGCAATTCATTTTGTTTGTAAGCATCAAGGATGTAGGCACTACTGTGTCATACCTGTCTCTCTCTCTCTCTCTCTGTCTGTCTGTCTGTCTCTCTGTCCGTCTGTCTCTCTGTCAGTCTCTCTCTCTCTCTCTCTCTATGTCTGTCTCTCTCTCTGTCTGTCTGTCTGTCTGTCTGTCTGTCTCTCTGTCTGTCTGTCTCTCTGGCAGTCTCTCTCTGTCAGTCTCTCTCTCTCTCTCTGTCTATCTGTCTCTCTCTGTCAGTCTCTCTCTCTCTCTCTGTCTATCTGTCTCTCTCTCTCTGTCCGTCTGTCTGTCTGTCTGTCTCTCTGTCTGTCTGTCTCTCTGGCAGTCTCTCTCTGTCAGTCTCTCTCTCTCTCTCTGTCTATCTGTCTCTCTCTCTCTGTCCGTCTGTCTGTCTGTCCGTCTGTCTCTCTGTCAGTCTCTCTCTCTCTCTATGTCTGTAGAGACAGACATAGAGAGAGAGAGAGACTGACAGAGAGACAGACGGACAGACAGACAGACGGACAGAGAGAGAGAGACAGATAGACAGAGAGAGAGAGAGAGACNCGGACGACGGACGACGACAAACAAGCGGGCAGACAGCAGAGCTCGGGGCAATAATGCAGATTTGTTTGACTTTTTTACACTTTGTAACTCCTTTCCTCCGCTCTTGTCTCTGTTTGTGAGTGTGTGCATTCGTGTGTGTGTGGGGAGCGGAGCCCCGCCCTTCAGAAACAGAGCGGAGGGAGAATGCGAATACGCAAAGCAGTGGACACTGAAACATACACATACATTGGATAAATAACATAGGCGTTTAGTTTATTTAATAAAAGAGCACATGTCCATGTGAAAAGTGACCGTAGATAGATAACTTCAGTTGCAATTTGGTGCTATATATATATATATATTTTTTTAAATAAAAAATAAAATAAAAAACACCTTGAATTTCAGGCAGGGCGCGGGGCTCCGTTGGCAGGGCGCAGCGCCCCGCCAAGACAATGGTAGGGGAAACACTGCCTAAATGTGGCCTAACTGTGATTCCTGTTGTGTACGCCTCAGATCCAGCGCCAGCGGGAACTCGGCTCAGTCTCAGCTGCAGGCCTTCAGAGACTCGGTGGCCCGTCTGACGTCAGAGAGAGACACTCAGAAGAAAGACATGGAGACCAAGAACAGTGACATCCTGGAGAGGAACCGGACCATCACTCAGGTCAAGAAGATTGGACGGCGCTACAAGACGCAGTATGAGGAGCTGAAAGCCCAGCATGACAAGGTGGGACTGCAGGCCTGGAATGGGTCTGTCTAAGCTGCAGGTTAGTAAGGATTACAACTGGAATAGTGAGCTGTGTGTGTATTTCAGATGGTTGGGGAAACTGCTGATAAAGCAGGAAGTGAGGCGGGTCCGAGCCAGGAAGTGCAGCAGGAGCTGACTAAAGCCCAGGAGGAGCTCAACCAGGCCAGAGAGGAGCTGAGCACACTGAAAGAGGAGGGGCAGAAAAAAGTGGAGGAGGTGAGCAGGAAGACAGGAACACAACATATGATGATAGGCCACCATGCTGTTCTAAAAATGTAACCCCCACATGTGAACAAACTCATCCATTCCATTGCGATCAAACAATATAAATGATTATATTATAAGAAATGAAACCTGATTTAAATGTACAACAAAATGTGTGAGATTCATGGCTCTGACATCAGTCGTGTTATCTGACCTGTCACAAAATCTCCCAGACCAAATTAGACTATAGGATAATACAATAGGAAACAAAACTCAGGATTTAGTTTGGCTAGAAAACATCAACAACATACAAACAAGGCTCTGATCACTTAGACTGTCTGAAAGTATCCTTACATGTGATTTCATGTCATACTTTTTTTTACCCAAATTAGGACCAGAAGGGCCAGCAGGAGCTGGAGGAAGCCAAGAAGGAGAACCAGCAGACCAAGGATAAGTTCCAGGAGGTCCAAAACCAGCTGACCCAGAAACAGAACCAGCTTACACAGGTACTGAGCACATGCAAGCTACAAACTATCACGAAGCCTGTGCTTGATTAAGCCAGGAGGCAACAAACATTATAAGATGTTCATGTGTTAATGAGACCAGTATAAAACTAGCTCTACCTATACAAACCCCAATTCCAATTAAGTTAACGTAAATAAAAACAGAATACAATGATCTGCAAATCCTTTTGGAACTATATTCAATTGAATACACTACAAAGAAAATATATGTAATGTTTAAACTGATAAACTTTATGATTTTTTTTGTAAACTCATTTTGAATTTGATGCCTGTTGCAACACGTTCCAATAAAGCCGAGACAGGGGCATGTTCACCACTGTGTTACATCGCCTTACTTTAAAGGGGACCTATCATGCAAAATGTACTTTTGTATGTCTTTTATACATGAATGTGTCCCCGGTGTTCCAGGGAACTCACCAAGTGTCAGAAAACACAACCCTCTCTCTTTTCCTCCATTCCCAAATCTCGGATGGAACGAGAGACTAACCGGACTCTCGTCAGAACTCCAACGACCTGAGGACCGCGAACACCGAGACCAGAACGTGACGAGCTAACGCAGACGACATCGAGGAAAAACTAACGTGCGTCCAAGACGGACTTGCCCGGGAGAAATTAACGGGACGACGCTCGAGGGAGACGCTAGAACCGACCCTAGACCAAAGACGGCCCCGGACTCTGACTCTTGACCTCGACGAAAGTGTGACGCAAGACCGTGAAATTTCAGTTTTCAATCACGCCAAAGCAAGAGAAAACAGTTCACGCTAAATAAAAACCAAGACCCAATACTCGTAAGTAGAGACGGTCCACGACGGGACACTAGACAGGGTCAAGAGAGAGCAATGGACGGACGCGATACCCAGCAACCGAACGGACTTCGAGAAAGACCTGAGACCCAAACCAAAAGAAAGACCAAGAACAAACCAACAAAGACACAAATAAAGACAAACAAGGAAAAATAAAAACAATAACACCATACAGATTAATGGGACACCAGGACGGAAAGATAAAACACAGATGTTGGGGTTAAAACAAACACAACACCCTGCAACGACATGTTACGGACTAGTTTGTCTAGTTCGTAAACGTCTATGATGGTTTTTAATTTAATCTCTATTGGTGAGTTTCCCTCTATCGACAACTTGTATAAGTGAGTAAAACTGTAACGGGGCCCACTTGAGACGGGATGTCGTAATGATGCCAGATTTTGACAAGGTTATGTTTATAAACCCCGATATGTATTAAAATTATTCCATCCTGTGACCCGAATTATTACAACATCGCGCAAGTTCGGATTGGTCCGCTATTCATGAATAGTTTTATCATATCTAACACTGCGTGCAAATACTACCTATGCAAAATGTCAATACATTACGTGACGACAACCCCCCCTCTCTGGCGGGGAAGGGTACATCACGACACCATGCCGACCGTACTCCGCGCGTACCTACCCCTGCTCAAAAACGACAAGCATACACCTCAGTAGAGTCACGGGGCCACCTTGCGACCGAAATAACGATGACATAAGCAAGCGTGGCGTGCGTCTATCCGACCGCGTGACACACTGACTGCACGTCATTTTTACCCCAAACGGGCGGTCGTCGCGTTTACAGTTTGGGCGCGGATACTCCACTTAGTCCAAGTAAAATCGCCCACGGGGTTACCTTTAAGAACCAGCTTGGCTATGGCTTTTATCCCTTTTGTCAACCGGCTTTGGGCTTACGCTTTTACCTAATTATTCTTTAATATAATTTCATATATTATATATTATATATCATAATTACATAGTAAAAAAAATGGGTTACAACAAGTCGATGGACCTTAGATACCTTTCTTATTTCGACTAATACCGTTTTGAATTGAATTTATTATTAGTGATAATACCCCAGGTATTTTGTAAATAAGTCGTGAAACTACGTATGCATCATGTAATTTAGGTCAGTTGCACGTGTAAAATAAAAGAGACCATCCTATTGAAATGTTGTTATGCACGTAATGTAGTTGTTTCGTTTTTTCCTAAGAAATTTTGACGTAAATTGTAGATCCGGTCTATCCTGGGGTGTTGTTTTATCTTTATTTCCTTTATTCTGACATTGTCGGTCCGGAAGTTGTTGTTGTTTACGTCGGTTATCACGTAACCCGCTTAAGTGTTTACACGTTTGACCTAATAGTGTGTACTTACATTAGATAGAAATGTTTCACTTTAAAGTAACTTAAAGTTCTTAGACATTTATTCCGACAGACAGGAGTATTCGTTCTCATCATTTGTAACATATTTCTTTATGTTATTTCACTTTTGCCTAAACACTGTTTTAGGGTGTAGTTAATGTTTACTTTCTGTTAAAGTTCTTAGACCGTCTTATTCCACCAGACAGGAGTACTCGGTTACATTGTGTAACAAATATAATCTAACGCGCCTTCATGTTATATAACTTGCCCTGTGACACGACGAACAGTAAAGGCGATTACTATTGGAACTCTACCACTCATTGAGTGTTACTTTTAACCAAGTCCTTTAACCCGTATCTCTAAGTCGTACATCTGATCTATCAAATACTATTCGGTCGGAACAGATGATAATTCCTTTTCACCCTCAAAGCAAAAATTTACCTTTGTCATCGTAAGAGACGAAATAGTCGGCTATTCAGACCAAGGAGAAGTAGTATCGTGGCCACTCTCGTCGACAGACTTGTCTAAAAAAGTCACGAACACTAAACAGAATGAAGCGTATAACAGGCCCACAAAACTAAAGTTCACCGCCTCATCTAGTGCTCCCGTCACCAGCTTTTAGAACGTCCCCATGTGCGTGGAGCTTCTTTACAGTCGACTGTGTGGCAAAAGTTGTAGCGTTAAGGCGCGGAAAGAAGAACTACTTATAGAGTCGCCGCTGGTACAACCGACACTCGGTCGGCGCCTCGGTACCAGCGCGCGGCCACGAACAGCCGGTTGGCGTCCATAAGTAATGCAGTAGTGTGGTTGTCGCATATCGATGGTTGCATAGAGAGCATGTAAGCCACTATAAAGCACGCCTGCTTCCCGGAAAAATTGGAAAAGCCGAAGCCGCACATTGTATGGCTTATAAGCCACGTTAGGGATCAAGTACTTTTTGAAATCATTGTTTGACTTACTCGTTTATCAAATTATGGTACAAAGAGTTAACATCTCCTATTCCCTATCAAGTAGTAGATGCGGTATTACAGGAGTGATTTCTAAGGCCTTCCCTTAGAGCGTGCATTCGGGCCCTTTTTAGTTGATACTGGGAAACACAATAGGCAAACTAGAAGGAATTAATGTTTAGGCCTAGGAGTAGTAGACAATTCCTATAATAGTAACACGCGAGTACTTGTGAAATTACTATTTGGAGACAGTAACTTGTGTCAAAAGGGTAATCAAATGTTACACACTCAACTATGAGATGGCTTCGTATAAGATGATGTGGGTCTTGCCCATCGTCGTAAGAAACCGAGGCCGGTAGAACTAACTACCATAGCAGGACAAGGTCTAGGAAGAAAGGAAGCCTTATCACACACCATAGTGATACATTACGCAGTTATAACTTAATACAACCGAGTAAGGAATAATATAATTCATAAATTTTATATACAAAAAAAAAAAGATATTTAATAGTTTGTCTAGGACGTAAAATGAGTACAGAGTAAGTGAAGATAAACGAGAAAGGTCGACGAACAAAAACGTCCCCGACTAAAACACTCGACGAGACTGGGTGCGGGGGGTGACGTCCTCTCCCACTCGCACTGAAAATCAAGTCCGACGACCGACGTCGCCCCTCTTCTCCCCCTCTTTTCTCATAGAAGCAGGAGGCACAGAAAATATCTTCATATTCTTCTCTGTTCATTACCCCTGTCTTTGAGGAAAAAGGGTCGGTCCAGGTTCTTACTGTGGTCTGCGCTGGTAAATAAGTCAACGGTCAATGACCGTATCCCGCCTATAGATCTATGAAGATTCCAAACATCTAACACGATGAAAAATTCCGTTCGGTTGCTACAAAGTTTAGATGTAGTTTTTTCGAGGAGTTTTTGGCGACAGCCTTCCGGTCAAGACCGGCAACGATCGCAATGAAGTTTCAAAGTTTGCGCATTGTATGTCTGCATAAAAAGAAACGCCTATGTACAGTTAAATTTAGCTATGAGGTTGATAAAAAATTTGTTATTTAGTAAAAATTTAGGTATTTTTCGTAAAAGTTAATTATAACCTCAGTACAGCCAATGAACAACTCTTTAACACCGTCATTATTCGCCCTATTACACGTCGCGTGGATAGTACGGCTAGATCTAGGTAGGCGTAACCCAGGACTAGTCCGGGACAGCCCACAGAAAGAAAAGGGGTATTACTGGCGCAGGTGACGGTAATAAGGGAATGTATATACTTATATATCTCAGGTAATGAACGTAAACAAAATTCGTCGCTCCGCGTTTGTGACGGGAGCCCCTCCCTTCTTTCCGTGTCGCCTCTTATTTTTCTTCCCCGTTGGTATCCTTGGTACGTTCCTTCAGAAGAAGCGACGAAAACAGCCGTCCTGTGAATGTCCGAGCCGTTACCATGCATTTCGAGCAGTCCGCAAGAGCTCGCCGTCTACGGGCCGGCACCGGCGTCGGAGAGTAAGGGGACTTCCACTCTCAACGGTGATCGCCATCGTGGTGAAGACACTGCATTTTTATTAAGGTTAGTACCGTAGTCAGACATAGTCTAGGCAACGTCGGNTACATTTTAATTTTATAATATAGTATCATCCGTCATCTTAAAGGGACCCTGTTGGCATTTTTGTAAAAGCTCAGAAATTATAACACATAATATGCTTAGTAAAAACGTTATAATTATTATAATACTCGACACTCCAGTCTACATTATGTTGTTCTCTACACCCGGGTCAAACGTAGGCGCAATCCGTTGCTCCGACAAAACTAAGTGGCCCCCAAACAGATGTTGTAGTTACTTTTACTTTCACAACATTTTTAAATGATTGTGACCACATAAGATCTTATTCTTCCCCCAGTAGGAATCCAGAAGCATGTCCT